AATCTCTGTCTTTCCTCCTATTGGCCTCCATTTCTTCCTTTTCTTTCCTTCTCTCTTCCTTCTCTTTCCTCCTACATTCCTCCATATCGGCTTTCTGTCTGGCCGCCAGAAGACCCCTAGGTCGAGGATGTTGGTTGTACACCTCGACCGGCTTGCGCCTTATCATGGAGCTGCTCGAGACGAGCAACCATAAAAAGGGGGAAGATGTAGCGGTTGGAAAGCAGAGCAACGGGGAGAAGAGAAAGAGTAGAAGGACACAAAGAAGATGCTGCAAGAACAGCCACCGAGGAAAAGGAACGGGGGTGCACCGTTAGGCTATTCGAGACGAACAGCCTTAAGGAGGGAGCAGTGTGACATGTTGAGCTCTGAATGATGCCCCTCCCCCCCCACCCTCCGCCAGCCGTGATGCGCTGAGCGAAGCCGAAGCGAGCCGATGTTAGCCGAGTCCTAGCATCCTGGTCGCTAGGCAACGCAAGTCAACGCGGTGACGTCACCGAGGGATATCGCGGTTACTAGGCAGCCGTCAACAACTCCGGACAACGTGGGTAGCAACAAGGCACCAGGCGACGACTGTCCGATCAAGGCTACATAAGGAGCAGCGAAGGCTATTCACAGCCAGTTGTACTGTGACAGTCGCCGAGTGCGTTATCAACGACTTCTCAGTTCGCAAGTTACGAGCTACAGCCGCGTGTGCGATAACCAGTGATAACCAGTCACACTCGGAGTGTGTAATTCAGGGAGACTTGTATAGCTCCCGCATTATTAGTACGTGAAGACTCTCGAAGAGAGTGTTAAGAGATTTTGTTCTAGGGTTTGTAAAGTGTGGAAACCCGTAATATTGTGATAATTAAATTTTAGCCGTTATTTGAAGATTGTTAAATAAACCAATTAACCATCTCTATGGCGTCTTCAGTAACGAAACAATATTACAATATTACAAGTGAATTTACATGCTTTTCAAGTATTATTTCCTTATAGGCCTATGAGATCGACCAAGAATCATCCCGTGATCGACTGGTCGATTGACTCGTTGGACATGCCTGATGTACAACATTCAAACTGTCTTTTCCATGTGCCATACTGATGTGGCCCTTTGTTTCATGGGTTTCAGTCACCTGTAATGACAAGAATTATCTTTCAGTAATCAATATGATACACATGTAACAGAGTTGCTCCTAAATGACATGGCTGATTGTCCAATATTTTGCAAAGTTCAGGAATATAATGACCATCCCTGAGTCCTGTGAATTCTTGGTGTCTTTTGGGGTAGATACTGATTCAAATTTAAGTGGGCATTGTATTATGAATGCCCATACTTGGAATACACAACTTCAATTCTGGCGCCAAGTCTATGCCATATACCACTCAGTTGGAAACCATTCCTTTTTCCTTTCAAGCCTGTTTCCCACCCAATTTCCAAAGTTTCTGGCACTAGTGTATTTCCAATGTTATTACATTTAGTCTGCAGTGATGATGATGAACACTTATTACAGTTGTTTCTAACTTAGCTTAGAAGTTTAGATGTGTCCTTGAAACCAAATGTTAAGACAGTGAGTTCCGAAACAGGCTAATTCTAATAAATATCTTCAAGCCATGTTCTGTTACCTAATTGTCTTATAATAGTTTCATGTTACCATTACATTACATTACATTACCTTATGTTCAAGTAAATTAATTTCTCTTTTTTCCCACTAACTAAAATTAAATGAAAATTTACCACATATATCTTTTGAGCTATGTTATGCATCTTCACAGAATTTGTCTTCTTTATTAATTCCAGAGTACACCTTCCCTCCCTCCTGGTAAGCCCATGCCATCCGTTCTGACGTGAAACCAATGCCAATGTCCCCTCTATTTGATACTGTGATGGCCCCTGCAGTATTTCCAACTCTTCTTGTCATTGCTGTACAACCATCTAGTGTTGCCTCACTTGCAGATTTACCTATTAGAAACAAAGGGTAGGCTTAAAATTCCGGTCTAGAAAACCGAAAATAATTGCTGTGGGGATTCGTTGCACTGACCATGCGACATCCTGTATATGCTAAAGTTGGCACTAATTCTGCTGACAAGTGGTGGTCGCCTGGTCGGTATAGTTCACTTGAGGACTAAAGCCATGGATTTTAGTTAGTTTAGTTTAGTCTTAATATTACATATTTGGACATTGTTATTAAGAGAAACTAATAAAGAGCATCGTAAAGCAAACTTAATGGCTTTCATTTCAGTGTTGTGGGAAGGAAATACTAGGAAGCATGAATCCATACAGAAAAAATGCACTGCAGGGACCAAGTAAGAATCTGTTTATAAATACTCATAAAAGTGTGCTTGTGAATTCACTGAAATGTGGTTTGTGCAGCTGCTGAAAGCATTGTGTCCTGTAATATTTATACACCTTTAATAATGTAATGAAGTGACTTATATTTACTCAAGTTTACTTTAATTTCATACCTGACATTCCAGATTTTTTTTTTTTTTGAGTCCTCCAAAGTGGTATATGCATCAATTTCAGTTCTCTAACTTTACGTTGTCATAGTAATAAAAATTACACACATTATTTATTTCACCGTCTTCTAGTGCATACACTTATCTACCTCACTCCTCTCTCTCGCACTACATGTTTCGGCACAAAAGTGCCATCTTCAGGTGCTTATTCGATTAATGTTAAACTAGTTCACTGCATGCCTTGTCGTCTTCATATTAAAATAATTAAAATATATATTTATCATATATATTGATAAATATTAAATATTAANTTAATATTTTTAATATTTAATATTTATCAATATATATGATAAATATATATTTTAATTATTTTAATATGAAGACGACAAGGCATGCAGTGAACTAGTTTAACGTTAATCGAATAAGCACCTGAAGATGGCACTTTTGTGCCGAAACATGTAGTAGTGCGAGAGAGAGGAGTGAGGTTGATAAGTGTATGCACTAGAAGACGGTGAAATAAATCATGGACTTAAATCAGTGCAACAGGACGCTAAAATATAACAAAATTACACACTTTTAAATATGGTTAGTAATAATACCAATTTAACTTGCATTAGAACTAAATATCTTGCATATTTAAATCTGGAGAAAATGATGGTCATAACATTCACTAATTAACCATTCACTGAATGTATTCTGTAGAACTATAAGGGTGTGCTGAATCACTCTTCTACTGAATATGTAATATGAGTACTCTTTGAAAATGTACCACGGTTCAGTACTGTAAAGTTTATTTCACTGTAGTGAAACGAAATGTGTTGAAACTCTGATGCCATCACTTTCAATGGTTGCTTTACAAACACAGAAAATGCAGTGTTTACTGAAAATCTGTTAGCAAACAAGTCCTCCTCACTCAGCACTACATGCAGGGCAACTGGGATTTTCAGTGTTGCAGAACAAACTTCTCTTGGGACAAGCTGCATTAGGCAATGGATTTAATCAGGAATAATTCAGTCACTAATGAAATTTATAATGAAATGTCATATATTAATCTTACCTTTCATCTTCTGTATTTTGAAATTCTCATAAAACTTATTCATGCATGGCTGTCCTTTCCCTTGTGAATCTCCTGGGATTGCGTTTATTGAAATTTATGAGATAAAAGGTACTGTAACGTGTTTCGTTACTGAAGACGCCGTAGAGATGGTTAATTGGTTTATTTAACAATCTACAAATAATGGCTACAATTAATTATCACAATATTACGGGTTTCCACACTTTACAAACCCTACAACAAAATCTCTTAACACAATCTTCACTTGTCTTCACGTACTAATAACGCGGGAGCTATACAAGTCTCCCTGAATTACACACTCCAGATATAACTGGTTATCCCGAACTATCACTGATTCTCGCACACGCGTCTGTAGCTCGTAACTTGCGAACTGAGAACTCGTTGATAACACACTCCGCGACTGTCACAGTACAACTGACTCGCAGCCACTGTGCAGCTCACTTATATAGCTGCAGTGCTTGCTTGTTGCGTAATGAGTGCCACATCATCCTGTTACGTCACCGCTGTTGACTCGCATTGCATAGTTACCAGGTTGCGGGGGCTCGGCTATCTTCGGCTCCGCTCGGCTCTCTTTGGCTCCGCTCGTGACGTCACCGCGCGTTGCATAGCTACCAGGATGTGGGGTGATTACTCGCCTATTACGCGAGCGCTACGCTACCGCTATGTGCAGCTGGAGAGGTAGGGGTCAACATGTCACAGTACTTTTTGGAGTTATTTAATGTTCTTGCATAAACTGAATGGGTCACATGGTGTCAAAAGGGAAAGGCAGTAGTCCCCGAGGAGTCATGGCATACTTTCAGGTATTATCCCAGTATTTGCAAGAAATGGACAAAGGAAAACTACATACACCGGTTGGTTTCTTCAACTTGAGATTTAGATTGAGACCTCCAAAATATAAAGAAGTATTGTTTATTAAAATAATTTTTTCAGGAATGTAATATAATATGACAGCCACTTATAGGTTAAAGTAAGAAGTCCAATGAATAAATCACCTACACATCTCCCCTGACCTGTTTTGTTTCCCCTTCCAGTATATTGCCCTATATTTCCCATCAGTCATCTGGATATTCTATTCACACAAATATTAGTAGTGATACCTCAGTCAATACAGCGACAGGCTATGGGCTGGATGACCAGTGTTTCATTCCCAGCAGGAACAAGAGATCTCTCTCTTCCCTATACAGAGTGATTCACGAAGTTTTGCCCCGGCTTATGGTACATATTCCTGGGGTTATTTCCTGCAAAATTTCCTGATAAACTTTTGGTCGATTTTCAATAGTTATGGAGTAATAATAGATTTTTGATATGCATCATTGTGAATGCAGTGCTCTGCTCCCCTCCTGGGCGACCTTGCGTTCCAGTCAGCTGTGTCAGCTGATAAGGCAGACTGGCTGGAATGTTGCGCGATCCTAGGCAAAAGCGATTCAGTAGTTAACAGGACGTTGTGTTGGTAACTTTGTGAAGTTAAGATGCTGTACACATTTTCTACTGAGGAATATGCCGATATGGTGTTTGTTTTGTGTGTATTTGATGGATATGCGAGAGCCGCTGCTGCTGAATATCACTGGCGTTATCCTAATCGCAGGATTCCGAATCCTAAATCCATTAGCAGTACATTCAACACATTAAGACAAACTGGTTCTCTACCCAGCGTTCGTATACAATACGAACGAAATCCTCAACATGATTTGTGCAAAGAAGAAACCATTCTCGAGGCTGTAGAGCACAGTCCGCGTGCCAGTACAAGACGTCTAGCTCGGCGGTTCGGTGTTTCTCAGTCCATGGCATGGAGGACTTCATGAGAACGGGCTGCATCCTTATCATTTACAGCAAGTTTAAACGACTTAATATTGGTGAAGCAGCATACGTCAGATGCCACGCAAGGTATAATTGGTAAATTTCAGAGACCCTATGCAGGTCCCTTCAGCATACGGAAGATAGTAAACTCGTCTTTATTTGAACTCTGCGACGAAGGAGGAAACTTACGAGGTCTGTACAATCTACAGCATCTGAAGCCATATTTGAGAGCCATCGACGAGAGGTAGTCAAAAAAAAAAAAAAATTATCTAGACAATCTCTTGAATGTCGATTGCAGAAAGTAGAGTTCGCGTGCAAGAACTTGGGTACTACTTATATAGAAATTTGGGGATTTCTTGGATGAAAGTAAGCAGACCGTAATTGCAAGCAGATGATTCGGTTGCCTACTAACAAATTATAATTTGAAAGGGTCAGTTTCATTGCACTAACAGAATAACTAAAGACAGTCAGAGCGCCTGTGTGAATGAGTGAGTGATTGTACATCAACATTGTAAACAAGTTAGTCTAAGTAAAGCTTTATTGTAAAGAAGTGAAACTGAAAGAGTATAGAGAAACTAAGGGAAACGACTGCAGGTCAGAATTCACCCTAAACTAAAAGTAGGTCACTGAACCAGCTCTGAAAGGGAACCCAGACAAAGAAAAAAAGAGAGAGAGAGAGAAAGAGAAGGTAGGATATTAATATTACATCCAGTTAAAAGGACGGGCACAGGATTAACTGCAATTAAATAAAAGTGTAAATTGATCTCTTAGCGGTTGCCAGGTAGCAATCTAGGCAGAAAGTATAAGCAGCCAAGGGCAAAGTAAGTGAAGAGATACATTGAGAAGTGCAGTGTTGTGCAGTGAAATTACAGTGATAAAACATAGAAGTGTATGAACAGAGAGACAGAAAATTACCAATGTTTGTGTACCTATGTACTTGATTGTACCACTAACTAATTTTAGTATTTAGCCAAAAAAAAAAAAAGAGAAAAAAATGTAGCCTAGTAGTAAGTCTTAGTAGCAATCAAAGGGTTCATTGTCATTGTAGACAACAGACTGATCCCAAGTTATTCCATTTGTTTGTATTACTTAAAAGTAGGTTAAGGACAGCAGTGAAAACGAATCTTTGTTCATTACATTACCTTACAGAACAAATATTCGCTCTGGGAGGTTGTAACCGTTCATTCTGATTGGAGGACTGTTGTGTGTTAATTAAATCTATATTAAGTTAAGATTACAAAATTACAAACAAAGAGATCCGGCAGATAGCCAGCTCTTACACGCAGAAGGGACATACCGTATTTACGCATGTATAGGCCGCAGCACAATTTTCAGACAGAAATTATAGAAAAAATAATTTTCTTGGAATATTATTTCAGGAGTAGAAATTATTCCGAAATTTGGCAGCGTTAATTTTTTTAAAATGAAGTGTGATTTAGAATATTTCGAATATAAGCCACACCCCAGTTTTCCTCTTGAATTTTTGGCAAAAAATGTGCGGCCTATACATGCGTAAATACGGTAGTTCAAGTTTTGCTATGTAGACAGGAAGTAACATCTGGTACTTTCCTGGAATTCTGGCAGTTTCAGCAAAGTCGGAAAGTCTTTGACAATTTGAGAGCTGACAGCTTGGGACAGCTATAACTTAAAAGTGGGACGGCCTGAGCCTCATACCCTGATCGTAATGCATCAAGGGGTTGTCAACCTTAGCGTCAGGTCAGCATCTGCCAGAATCACATAGCAAAGCAACATGATCGGGAATTCAAAATTTGGGGAACCTCCTAGTTTGAAAACTTAACCAATGGCAGAAGTGGAGGAGTGGATTTCTCTTGGAGTCTGGGGTTTGTGGACCTCAGGATTCAGATAGAGGGCATTCCACCTCGAGGAGTCTTCATACAACTTTCGGCAAAGTCGGACACAAAATTTACAACTACAGCCCTTCCATAAAAGTACTATAAGTAAAGTTCAAATTAAGTGTACTAATAAATTCAGTTGTATTCAGTGAGCCGGAAGGAATTATATGATTACTAAGTGCAACGGTCTAAAGAGGTGTGTGTGATTGCAGAGAAAGGTTCTTCCTGCCCTGCCCGAGCCAGACCTGTAAGACCCGGGATATGAACTCAGCTCTACAAATTACTGAACAGAACCCAGACACTCCCGTCTTTACCTGCTCTCACGTAACAGCTCCAACAACCACAATTCTCCTCCCTTCCCACCTAACTTCTCGACATCCACGAGAAAAGGGAGGACGGTAACAGCGTGGCGTCCAACGTAAAGGGCCCAAAGAAGTGAGCGGACCTACAACCAGGAGACCGTGCTCTTCGTCTGCAGTTCTGCAACTGGTTAAATGGAAATCGGCAGTTGTACCGCTTGATAATGTTCTGTGATGAGGCACAGTTTACACTGGACGGGTTCAGCAACAGTCACAACTTACATGTTTGGGCAGACAACAATCCCTGGCCACGACAGAATCAAATTTTCAACACCGATTCAGTGTCAATGTCTGGTGTGGTGTTCTGTATGATCAGCTAATTGGGCCGTTCATTTTTCCTGGCTGCTTAACTGGTGAGAATTACCTCCACTTCTTAGAAGAAGAATTACCAGTTACTTGAAGATGTTCCTCTGGCAACAAGATGCCGGATGTACTTTCAGCATAATGGGGCGCCTCCTCACTTCTCCCACATAGTAGCAGCTCACTTGGATCGGCATTTCCCACAGTGGTGGATTGGTCGCAGAGACCATAACGCCTGGCCTCCCAGGTCGCCGGATCTAACGCTGTTAGATTATTGCATTTGGGGCTGGATGAAGGCCATTGTGTACCAGGTAAAGGTACAAACACGTGAAGCGTTGCTTGAAGGTATTCTGGACACGGTGATGACAATAAGGAACAAACGTGTGGAACTGCAAAATGCTACGAGCACGGTTCATACATGTGCGACGTGTTGTGTTGACGTGCAGGGAGACATTTTTGAAAATCTTATGTAAATCCAGTCGTCTTCTAAAGCACTATAGTTTAAAGGAAACAGAATGATAGAAGGGTGTGATATGCAACCATTGGTATGTTTACAGAATGGGATGCTGAAAATAACGTAATTTCGTAATATAAAATCGATGAAAAATGTTGCACAATGCAAAATTAAGAAATTGAAAATTAAAATTTGGTTTTAGAATGCTTCTTTCCTAAAACATTAACGATTTAAAAAGTGTTTGTATCTTATTTCTAATTTGTTTTGACTGAAATTCGAAGAAAAAAAGATTTTTCGCCAGTTTTCAAATTACTGTATCTCTTTAATTATGAGTTGGATACCATTAGTATATTAATATTTTCTGTTCCAAATTACCTCAGGAATGCCCTCCCTAAGTGGGGGTAAAACTTTGTGAATCATCCTGTATGATCCGGACTAGTTCTGGAGACCACTCAACCTCTTATATAATGGTCACCACCAGGGGATGCATCCTCGGGGGTAAAATGGCAGGTGCGTGAAGCTAACCAGTCACCTCCACTTAGTGCCAAGGCTAAGAATTCACTCATTCATTTCCTTTATTTTCCATATATCCATACAGGTAACAAACCTAGGATGTGGAAATGGGCCCTTTGAAAGGAGATATATCAAGATACATATACAAAATTAAACAAGTTACATAATCAAAATCACTTACATTAATCTATTAATATAAATAATAATATAAAGTAAAAAATTTAATGAGATAATTTAAAAATAACTTACTATAAAACTTGAGTTAATACAATTTTATTTAAATTACCTACAATCACTGAATTAAGTACATTACAAATTTACACATTTATGACCAATTATGTTGATAACATTAATTCATGGAATAAAAAGAACGATATAAAAACCTCTTCAGTGCACATTTAAAACTTCTCACATCAGTAGCCACCATTTTTATTGTTTGAGGAAGATGATTAAAAACTTTAATACCTGATATGTACACACCTTTATTGTATTTTGTTAGGTTAACTGCAGGTAAATATAAATTATTGAGGATTCTAGTTTTGTATTTGTGAATCTCACTGTTAAAATTAAATAAATGTTTATTATTAATTGTGTATAAAAGTAATGAACATATGTACTGAGAGTAGAATATCATTATTTCCAAATTCTTAAAAATGTCCCTACAAGACTCTCTTGGCCTAGAATTCGTTATAATTCTAATAACTTTCTTTTGCAATATAAAAACTCTGTTAACACAAGAGTCAGCCCAAAAAATGATACCATAATTTATGATTGAATGTTTATGAGCAAAATAAATTAGCTTTAATGTATCTAAAGGGATAATATATTTTATATTTCTCAATGCATAACATGCAATGGAAATGTTATTAATAACATAATCAATACGCTGTTTCCATGAAAGAGTATCATCAATAATTAATCCCAGAAATTTTGTCTTGGTCACATTTGTTAAATTTATCTAATCATAGTTAATTTGAGTAGTGATATAATAATTCATAGGTCAAAACTCGACATATTGAGTCTCATTAAAATTCAAGGTAGGTAAATTAGAATTAAAACATGTATTTATATCTTTGAAAGTTTGATTAAGATTTATATCAAAGTTTGACTTATTAGAGCCAATTTTTTTTTCCCTGGCACTACAGCCCCAGTGGGCCTAGGCCTACCTCCATGTACTCCATTCACTTCGGTTTCTTTGATCTTACACATATGGTAGGACTCCTTGGGCGAGTGATCAGATCGTCACAAGGCCTCTACCTGTAGACAAATACAGAAAAACGCACATAAACATCCATGCCCTTAGTGGGATTTGAACCCACGATCCCGGCTTCCGAGCAAGCAAAAACAGTGCATGCCTTAGACCACTTGGCTATCGTGACCGGCTAGTAGTGCCAATTGCTATTGCTTTAATATAAAGCAGAAAAAACAAGGGACCAAAAATCAAACCCTGTAGAACACCGCATTTAATTGGTTCCATTTGGATGAGTTGTTACTGTCAATTCTATTACCCCATACAACTCTTTGATATCTACCTGTCAAATAAGATCCAATAAGTGTTTTGAATTTTCCTTCAATTCCATAGAATTCCAATTTATCCAATAATATTTTATGGTTAACACAATCAAACGCCTTTCTTAATCACAAAAAATGCCTCCCACCATTAACCTATTATTAATCGCAGTTAAAATATTATTTATCAATGTAAAGGCTGCCTTTTCAGTCAAGGAGTGTGTCCTAAAACCATATTTTTCGTGTACCAACAGGTTATTTGCTTCAGTATGGGTAATAAGTCTCGCATATATGAGTTTTTCAATGATCTTAGAAAAAGAAGTCAACAATGATATTGGTCTACAATTGGATATATTATGAGTGGAGCTATACCACAACTCCCCCATATGCATTCGGGGCATATTGCTTAATTATGTAATTACATACAGCAATCACTTTACTTTTTATTGTCATTAGTGACAAGCCCTTTGGCTGGGTGAGGTAAGTGACAGGAGAATGCAGCAGGAGCCAAAGAGGCAGGAAAACTAGCATCATCATCATTATCTATGGGAATTCTTTCCCCTGTCTCAGTAAGGCTTCCCGTTTTATAAAAAGATAGATCATAAGTGTACCAACAAATTTTTAAGAAACTTATCTGTATGTTGAAAATAATAATAATAATAAAAACAAATGCTGGTGGAGTGCAATATGTAGGTTGCGACTATGACAGTGGATATGCAAAGAAATTTATTGTATATTATTAATATATAATTCCTGCTAGACTTCCTTCATAGCTTTCAGGGAAAGTGGGTATCACATATTCTTTTCAGAACTTGTTATGATAAGTAAAGGACTACAATATAGCGAAAACTCCATTTAAGGTTTCTTTGAACAGCAGTAGATTGAAACATTAAACTGAGGAAAATATTATTTTTTTATTGCTTGTGGGGTGTGACTAAGTACCTTGTACTGCGGCCACTTCTGGCCTATTGTACCAGCCCCAGATGATAGGTGAGGGTGATTGTGGAATGAAGACTGGCAGGGGAAACCGAAGTACTCAGAGAAAACCTGCCCCAGCACCACTTTGTCCTCCACAAATCCCACTTGACCAGACCAGGGATCGAACCCAGGCCACCGTGGTGGGAAGCCAGCGACTAACCGCTTGAGCCACAGTGTGGCCCAAGGAAAATATTAACTGTAGGAAATTTAAAACTTGGATTCTTGACTTGAATCACTGAAACTTAACATTAAATGAGGGAAAACCTTCAGTTCAGCAACATCAAATGTTGGGGTCTCACTGTATCTCTAAAATTAAAGTGACATTCTAGGGCATAGTAGGGATAAATTTGAAGTCCTTCCTTAATCTTCAATGTAAAAACATTTTCTCTCAATAAATTTCTAACATACTTCATATCAACTTTAAATATGTACATGTAAGTAAGGCAACAAATCTCAATACAATTTCCATGATTTATTAAATATTTTCTATAAATTTCATTTCAAAGAAACTATCTGAAAAATAATATTTTGAAATGAAATATGATTTCCTGTAATAACATTTCACAATGACTATTAAATAAAAAAAAGTTGTATCCCAAAGTAATATATAACATACCTTGTTCCATGAATGTTAAAATGGTACGTGCTAAACAAAATTTCATGATAGATTCTCCATGACCTGTAGTTGATACAGCTCCAATATTATCATCAGCATAGCCTCCACAACCTGCAATTGTAATACTGAACGTTAATAATTCAGAGTAGAAAATTTAACACTTCGTCTGTAGAGAAGTCAACAGTTTGTATTGTACAGCAAAGCAAATCTCAGCCTAAACTCGGGGGGGGGGGGAGTTTTACAAGGAATTGATAATTTTTGCATACCTGTCAAACACAGGTTAAATAATTCACTTCCACACTGTTGTGTCAACTGAGTTTTATTGGCTTAAAGTATAACGTCAAAACATGTTTCGGCTCTCATGGAGCCAATCTACAAAACTTAAATTATTGAACTGTGATTCTTATATGGATCCATATATTACAAGTATCCCATGTTTATAAAATTCAATTCAATTCATGTTTATTTACGTGCAATAACTTAACAGCACAGTGGCCAATTACAAGTTAGCATGAGTATATAAGGTACAGAAAATAATTAAAACAAAATACAAATATGACAAATAAATCTGTGAGCATAAAGCTAAAGAAGACTTAAATATATACATACATTTATGAAATATTACAAGTGTTGCTAATACTATTAGTAACTAAATACCAAGATAAGACAACTGGGAGTGATAAAATTAATAACAAGTCAATAAATTAAAGCAATTACATAAGAAAATTAAAGTTAGCTGAGGTATACACATTTGTAGTTAATGAAAACACTAATCCAGTAACACCGTAAAAGGTTTGGTACATGCTTGTAAAATATGATTCAGAGAAACCGCTCCATCTGCAAATATGTCGAGATCTTTACCCACCACGTTGGTAGTAAGGGCGCACCGAGAAGAGAGACAGTGTCTTTTTGAGGGACGAACGCTAAAAGTAGAGAAGTCTCGAACATGGCAAGTAGGAACACGAAGACTAGCATTATCCAGAAGGGAGGAGCAGGATTTAAGGCCATGATAAACCTGAATGAAGATGAGTGCATCAAGAAGATGTCTACGCAGACTTAGAGGGTGCAATCTTAGTCTCTCTAAGGCAGATGTATAACTATAGGAGCTATGTGGGAAGTAGCGATAGAGACAGACAGATGCAAACTTTTTCTGGATGTGCTCAAGTTTTGCGTAGTCAGTAGACGTGACAGAATTCCAAGCTACCGAGGCATATTCCAACCTGGACCTGACTAGTGTAAGATACAGCACATATAAACAGTCAAGAGAAGAAAATCTAAAAGTTATTGAGTGTATAAGACCTAGCAGCTTTATACATTCGGAATATAAAAAATCAACATGATTGTGAAAATATAATTTAGAATCAAAGAAAACACCTAGGTCCTTAACGCAACTGGTGCGTGTAATAGCAGCATGACAAAGCTGATACCCATAGAGCAGGACATTAGTCTTCCTTGAGTACGACATAACACGCGTTTTGTTGATATTAATACTCGTGGCGTTCAAGTTCTAAGGTCTCCGATTTTTTTTCTCAGGACTGGGAGCAGATAGACACATGCGGTTTTGTTTAAAATACGTGTGCACTCTTTGTGAATGTGTGACAGAGATGGCAGAACTCTACGGCACACAGAACTCTAGTGGTAGCGGTGAGTGTGAGGAGTGTTTTTGATACTTAAAATGGCGACGTTTTCGTTACAAGAACAGCGAGTAATCATTCGTTTTCTCCACTTGCGTGGTGCGACACCCATTGAAATTCATCGCCAGTTGAGTGAGACATGTGGTGATGGTGTCATGAATGTGAAAAATGTGCGTTCGTGGGCGCGACAGTTCAAAGAAGGCCGAACGTCGTGTGACAACGAACCAAAACAATCTCGGCCTCGCACCAGCCGGTCTGACAACATGGTCGAGCGAGTTGAGAAAGTTGTTTTGGAGGATCGCCGATTGAGTGTGGAAAACATCGCCCCCAAAGTTGGCATTTCCGTGGGATCTGTGCACAAAATCCTGCATGAAGACCTGCGAATGCGGAAAGTGTCCTCCAGGTGGGTTCCACGAATTTTGGCGGATGACACAAGGCTGCACGCATGGCAATGATGAAGGCATGAATGGGACTTTCTTTTCATCAACTGTGACAATGGATGAGACATGGATGCCGTTTTTCAATCCGCTATTGCATCAGCAATTTTCCCGTGGTCAAAACAGACTCCTACAGAAGCGTTTGCAGTGGCTATGGAATCATGGCGTCGACGTTGTGAAAAATGTGTACGGCTGCAGGGAGATTACGTTGAAAAGTGACAGAAGTTTCAAATTTTTTGTATGATTATTGTGTGAGAAAAAAATCGGAGACCTTAGAACTTGAACGCACAACGTATAAAACATTCCATAATCACCTCATAAAAAATCCTCTATCTGCAAAAGTTGGCATAATCACCTCATATGCAGAGATTTATAGTTATACTTTATACTTAGAGCTTAACTGCATTTAGAGATGTATTACAATTTATTTAAAAAACCTGTAATATATGGATCCATATAATAATCACAGTTCAATAATTTAAGTTCTGCAGATTGGATCACCTGATGATGGCTCCATGATAGCCAAAACATGATATTATACTGCTGGGTATTGAACCCAGAACCTCATGAATGTGAAGGAGCAGTATCCACTTGAGTGTAGTGCGCGGTGATAGGGAATGGAATTAAGATATCACTAATTCCTTATGGTCACAAGAATTAATACTGAGCTTTGTGTAGAACATTTCAGAACACATTTCACACAGTGTATGAAAGCTGTATTTCAGTATTTCTCATTTCACATTCACATATCATACATTCACCTGGTACAGGTGTGTCTCCTACACGACCCACCAGTTTGCCATTAATACCACCAGTTGAAGTTGCCACAGCAACATGACCTTGTGCATCCACAGCCACTGCTCCTACAGTACCCACACCACTGCAAAGAAATACATACAGTAAAACCCCCATTTAATGCTCCTTTATTTAAAGTTTTCACTCATTTAACAATTAATTTCAAAGATCCTATTTGTTTCATTCTGGTCCGTCACACTAATACTATGAAAAAGTTAAACAGTTCTGTCCAGTGTGATTGGTTAAGATTTTCTTAATTCAGTTATATACATGTTTCGGTCTTCAGAGACCATCTTCAGAGGGACACCTTTATATCAATACAGTTAGAAGCCACTATTACAGTGCATGTTCTAAAAGTTAAAATATATACATACAATATAAATAATATTGTGACGTGCTGAGCTATGGATGACGCCCCTCCCCCCCCGCCAGCCGTGATGCGCCGAGCGAAGCCGAAGCGAGCCGATGTTAGCCGAGTCCTAGCATCCTGGTCGCTAGGCAACGCAAGTCAACAGCGGTGACGTCACCAAGTAGTAACAGCGGTTACCTCCGCTAGCGTTACATAGCAACACAGCGACATAGCAACAAGGGTGCCTATTACGTGGCCGTTTTCCCGTATTGTCCGATCGAGGCTACATAGGGAGCAGCGAAGGCTATTCACAGTCAGTTCTAGTGTGGCTACCGCAGAGTTGTACTGAGT